CCTGGATTGGGAATCTTGACCTCTTTCCCTTAGGGTGCCCATCCAACAGTTGGGAGCAGGAATGAGAGGTGGGAAATGGGGAGGGAGAAGACGGGGGAGGCAGGCCTCTGGGCCTGGAGATCGGGCCCTGGACTCGGTCCCCAGCCAGGCCACTTCAGAGACAGCCACCCTCCCTGTGTCGCATACAGGGCCCCCTTTACATCCATTGTCACAGAATTCCTGTGAGCTGGCTGGCCAGGGGGCCCAGGTTATGGGCAGAAAGTCCAAGACCCCGGGGCAGGAAGGGACCTGCCCAGATTCACACAGCTGGTTAGTGGCTAAGATGGAGCTCTGGGGTGAGGCCTATAGGAACTCCATGGCTTGGCACCCTGTCACTGACCACAGGATGGCCAACGAGTCCCACCCCTTCATGGTGCCGAACGGGACCCTGAGGCCCAGAACAGTGCAGGGCTGTGCCTTCTCCTCATTCCCTTTAGTCGCAGTGGCTATGACGATTCAGAAAGCCCGGACACTCCTGCTAGCAGCCTGCGTGCTGCCTAAAATCCCACCATCAGATCCCCGTATTTGGGCAAAGCGTGTGTCCTGAGGCCCATGTGCCGAGAAGGGCAGAAAGACAAGAATTGCAGGCATGTGGTGTCCTCGGTCTTCCAGAGCAGCAGGGAGGGAGGGAGCCCAGGGATCAGTGAGGGGCGGGGGCCCAGAAGGGGTGAGGCACTTTCCTGGGTCCCACAGAGGTTAGCTCAGTCTGGCAGCCAACCCAGACCCTGCTCCCCAACCCTAGTTGCCCCTCCTCTGTCCCTGCCCCCAGGCCCCTACTTATATGTATGGTACTGGAAGGGGGCAGGCCTGGAGTGACAGGCCCAGCCGCTCTAACTGGGACAGCGGGTGGGGCTGGGAATACCTACCCCTCACCCAGGTCACCCTCCGAGAGGGTGCTGCAGGCCTCAGCGGATTAATGGTGCGGAGGCCACTCATTTCCTCTGGCCGGGAGATAGGCCCCACCACACAGCCCCCCATTGTTGGCCACCCTTATCTCAGGAAGTTCCGCCTGCCCCATCCGGAGGAGGCAGCCGGCCCCCCACGCCCCCGGCCTCACTTTCCTTTGCCTCTTGGAGGCTGGAGAGCTTGGCAGGCCTGGATCACGGATCACGTGGGTGTTGATGCGTGTCTCCCACACGTGAGAAGTCTGGGCACCAAGGGGGGTCCTGGAGAGGTCAAGGAGGAACTGGAAGGGGGTCCTGGAGAGGTCAAGGAGGAACTGGAAGGGGGTCCTGGAGAGGTCAAGGAAGGAATTGAGACAGGGAGGGTAGGAGAAAGTGGAGGGAGGAAGCCCAGCGCACAGGGAGCCACTGGCATAGGGCGGGGTGGGGGTGGGGGGGACTCCTCTGCTGTGAACCTGCCTTAGAGAGAGCACGCAGCCCCTGTGCCCGAAGGCCTCCTCCAGGTGCTGGCACCCACTCTAAGATGCAGCATGGACAGTAAGTAACTCCTCCAGGAAGCCTTCTCTGTCCCCCCACTAGTCAGGGTCCCTACCCAGGCTCCCCCAGCCCCTGTGCTTCACCCCACCTCCCAGAGCCCTGAGCACCCGGTGTGGATGCAGGTCTCTTAGGCTGGACAAGCTTTGATGGTGGAGACCCCCATGTCTCCAGGACTTGCCCCGCCCCCACCCTCTTCCGCCAGCCGAAGAGCTGGACCCACGAGGGGCTGCAGGCTCTCTAGGTCCCCTCCCCACAGGCTTGCATCCCCCATCAGCCCACCTGCCCTCCCACCACCACACTGTTGGCCAAGCATGTCCCTCCACCTGGGATGCTCTTTCCGTGCTCCCCCCCCCCCGGCAAAAGCCCAGCCACTCACTCAGGACTGCTCAGGGCCACCCTCCTGGGAGCCCTTCTGAGCCCACGACTGATGCCTGGGACTTCAGCCAACACCTGTCTCCTTTTCTGACAAGAACAGCTCTACTCAGTAAATTGTTTAATTAAAGGTTCCACAGCTTTAGAAAAGTTTAGAACAACTGGATTCACCCATCTTCATCCTCAGCCCTTAACCCTCTCAGGAAAGACCACTCAACTGGTATTTCATGAGAAGTCTAGAGAACTTGGGCATCTGGGCATCAGAGAGGAACAGGTCCCTTCATTTTACTAAAGGCTTTCAATACCTTAACCCAAAGAAGTGACGTAATGGAGGTAATCCAGGCAGTGCGAGAGAGTGGTAAAATGGTGATATTTGGGGACAAAGGGTCTACCCCTTTGGGGATACTGTTTATATCCTCAGTCACTGAGGCAGCAGTATCTCTCCCCCTCCCCCCAGTGTCACCCCCTCCCCTCTAAGCAGGAGGTGGGAGAGAAGGCAAGGCTGGCTGAAGGCAACAAGACAGCCTGGTGCCCAGGCCTGACTTGACAATGGGAGTGTAGTACCAGCCTGCTCCAGGCTCTGGCTGCTAAAGGTCAGGCCTCACGTCTCCGTCTTCATTTTAGGTGGAAGGAAGTGGTAGCTACTTAGCCACATGTACCCAAAGGCATTATTTGAAAGTCAGGAGGTCAGTGAGGTGGCCATTGGCATAGCCCAGGGGAGAGATGGTGTGGCCTAGGCTGGGTAGTGGGGGGGGGGGGCAGGGAGGGAGGGTGACATCTGTCATGATCTCCCATGACCCCTCCCCTACAGAGGAGAAAACCAAGGTCATCCAGCAGCAAATCAGGGCTGTAGCGAGGCCCTGAGGCAAGTCAGAAGCTCTGTCCTCAGCCCGTTAGCTGGGCCTTTGTGTCTGAGACCTTCTGCCCAGGTTGTCCTGACTTCATAGGATGCCCCCTCACGTGCAGGTTGGTAGGACAGCAAAGTCTGTGGGGCTCCAGGTCTGACCCACCTCCAGTCCCTCCCTGCCTGGCTCCAGAAAGTCTGGACCCCTGGGAAGGAGCATCCCTGGCCTGGGCTGGCCAGCTGGAGAGGCCTGGCCTGTCAGGGCCTCTGTAGGCTGAGGCACCGGGAAGATTGAAGCCCTCAACACCAAGCTCTCATGTGCTGAAGCCATGGTGGGACCAGAAGGAACCTTGGTGGTCATCTGGGGCATCAGAGAGGAAAAGGTCCCAGAGAGGGCCATGTCTTGCCCCAGGACACACAATGGACAGACAACTCTGTAAAGGATACAGTTTGCATACCCATCCTCACCCTGACTTCTCTGCAGGGTTGTGAGGGAGGCAGGGATCATGATCCCCATGTTACAAAGAGAGAACTGACGTTCAGAGAGAGGCAGGGAGCTGTGCAGTGACACGGTGACACAGGCTGTATGTGAATCCAGGTCTGTCTTATTTTTTATTCCAAAGTATTTTCTAGTTCCCAGTCTCTCTCTTATTCAGTGATTGCTGATCAATCAGCAAACTTTCCCCAAGCACCTAGCAGTTGGGCACATTTCCCAGAGAGCAATTGGCCACACTCTGCCCTCATGGAGCTCCTTATTTGGAGTAGCCAAGGAACAAGTGCATGTGATGGAGAGCATATACAAGAGGGAGGAGATGGAGGGGACTGTGGGTGGGAGCAGTCAAGGAAGACTTCCTGCAGGAGGTGGCATTTCCGGAATGGTTTGAATGAGGGGAACTATAGAAGGAGTCCATAAGGTATGAATGAGGAAAAGGCTGAAGGGAGGAAGAGAATGAACTAGAGTGACAGCACATATGCCTCATAGCGGGTGAGGGAAACATTTTGTCAAAGGCTGGAGTATGGTGGAAAGAGCTCTTGATGCTAGATCAGACAGACCCAGATACTAAGAAAATCCCAGCCCCTGGCCCTGGGTCTGGCATCAGGAGTCAGTTGAATAAATAAATGACCCTGATTTCAACAGATGACTAGATAAGTC